CAAAATCTTCTCTTTGGATGAACCACCACGAGGCAAAAAACAGTGTCATGTTTGGGAGTATTTTCTGTAATAAATGATAAATGACAGGCAATGTATAGACAGACTTAATCTTAAACAGGACCTAAAATTTTAATTCATGTGACAAGGGCCTACAGACTATTTCAACCCAAGCATCCCTTTTGCAATCAGAGACACTGGATTACATGCCTCATTTGTTTTCAACATTCAGGCCTGTTGTCCAGCAATCTAATATCATGGGGTAAAATCCAGAGGGAGGGGTGGGGGGGGAGGAGGAAACAACTAAAAAAAGCCACTAAGGAATAGTTTTGCAAGGTTGAAAGTTAAAGATGCTGCTCTTACAATATAGTCAATCAATTTTCTCTACAGAAAACACAGGTTGAATTTCCAACATTAGGTCTTAAATGCCATTTTTTGGTCAATAAATGGTGAAATAATTACTTTCCAGGAATCATACAAACCTATCAGAATATTCTTCTACTAAATTACCTGAGAGTGATTTTGTTGTTTCAAGTCCTTGGTGTTTTCCCTACCTTGGGCTCTGTTTACCATTACACAAGAAGTCTTTGCATTTTAAATAACCTGCAGTGTTCAAAATAGCTCCCAGCACTTGATGCTCAGGACCTTCCTGCTAGAGACCAGGCTGAGCCCCGCAACCCTGGCCTTGGCTGTCCACACAGCCTCTGTCCACACAGCCTCTGTCCACACAGCCTTCTGGCGGCAGAGAGGTTGCCGCCAGCGTCACTGCTCTTTGCTCTCACTTCAAACTAACAAGAGGCGGTGGCGCCCTGCCCCCATCATCTGTGGCTGCTCTCGGCCAGTGGCCAGTGGCAGCCAGGTCTGAAGTGGAAGCCTGGAATATTGAAAACTGATGAAGGTGACAATACTCCTTATTTTCCCATCCCTTTCCTTTAGGAAGGGTAAATAAAAAAACAATTTGTAATCTCTCGGTTATGATTAGATTTCTAACTATCTCTTGTGGAACTTGAAGAGAACTGCTACAGATTCAGTTTGTGTTTCCCTGTCCACTGTGATAGTGAGGGTCAGAGGTTGGGCTGCAGGCCTCACAGTGGTATGAAAAGCAATAACCCAGTTTCTAGATGGAGCCAAAGGCAACAGTAACCTCCAAAAGGGCCTGGGTTCAGGGCAGAGCTCAGCTTCATTGGCCAGACTTCTTTCCCTTTAATGGCCTAAGACTCTCTTGATGCAGATGATGGTCATTCCTATGTGAAACTATTATTTGCAGATTTGGAAATAGTTTGAGACAACTATTTGGAAAATCCTAATATTTTGTCATTGCTTGAATAAAAAGCTAACTGATAAGAAAAAATTTTGCTCTGCCTATAAAATTAAAAATCTCTGGTTTTAAAACTACTAAGATTCAATTTAATTCTAAACATCTTTTTTTGTTAGGTCTCTTATCTTCCAAAGACTACAGACTCTAAATCACACCATTTAAGTTCAAATGTGGGTCTGTTACTTAAGTGAATGATCAAGGACATATTAGTTGATGAGTGGCAAAATTATCCCAAAAGTTAGTGGCTTGAACACTTTATTATCTGACACTATGTTCTGGGTTAGGAATTCAGAAGCTGCTTGGCAGGGTAGTTCTGTCTCAGGATCTCACTTTTTTTTTTTTTTTTAATGAAGATTTATTTATTTATGGGTGCAGGCGAGAAGTGCAAGGGAGGTGAGATGATTCACCAGAGACAGAGTGGGGAGCAGAACAGGCAGACTGATGAGGTACACTGCTGAGGGGAGCAGCAGGCGGGACAGGAGAGGTCTGCCGCGCCGTGTGGGTCACCTCCTGGGCCAGGGATTGAACACTGAAGTGGCTGCAGCTCGTTTGAAGTGCTGCTTAAACCCTTCGCCACCAGGGAGGGCCCTGTCTCGGGATCTCCTATGAGGGTGCAATCGGGATATTAGGGGTGCTGCTGCCCTCTGAAGGTTTGCCTAAGGCAGGTGGATCCTCTCACTCCTAACAAACTGCGCTGATGTTTTCCTGGTGGCCCGAATTCCCCACCAGCGGGCCTCTATAAAGGTCCTAGCAGGTGTCCTCCAGACTTTTTCCACTGCCCTCCCTCGGGGTGAGGGCTCCTTGCCAGCACAGAGGAAGCCAAGATGCCTTTTGTGAACTAGCTTCAGGGGTCACACATCACTCTCACCATATTCTGCCCCTTCAAAGCAAGTTGTTAAGTCCAGTTCACATGCAAGGGGAAGGAAATGAACTTCATGGTTGGAAGGGAGGAGTATCAAAGAACTTGAGGATATATTTGAAATCAGCATAGCAAATTAGTAAACTTCCAAGGTGTTCAGGTCTCGTATCGATAAAATGGGACACGGACAGTGCTGCCTCGTGGCACTGCTTTGGGATTTCAGTGCTGTCTCAGGCATGAAGTGCTTGCAAAATTGCCGTTTGAGCTGCAGGGGTGCTTTCTTTTGCCCCTAACACATCTATGGACAATTAGAATCTTCTGACTGGAATATTCTGACTAGGAGATTGCCTGGATAATTTACACCGAGCTGAGTCTGACATCGTCCTTGTAACTGACTATAACTTTCTTGTTTCCAAATGTAACTGGCAGTTCTTTTAAGTCAACTTAAGGGCACAGTCAGTTCAGAACTGTGGTACCCTGAACCTTCCCGATTCAGAAAATGACTTCACCGTCCACATAATTAACCTGTTGGAGCTCCAAATTTGCCTTCAAAATCTACAGTCACTAACCCATTCTCCACAGCTCTGGGGCACTGCGGGTTCCAGCACACCATAAACTCTAAGAGAAGCTGCTGTTTGCTCTTCCTCCATATTCTGTTCTCATTAAAAAAGGCTGCCAGAGTTGTTTTAGATGATTTTTTAAAATATTTATTTATTCATACAGAACTGGGGTACAAGCCAGAGGTGCTGGAGCAGTAAGAGGCTTCACTAGAGACAGAATGGGGAGCAGAACAGGCAGATCAATGAAGTACACTGGTGAGGGGAGCAGCGGGCAGGTCAGGTGAGGTCTGCCGTGCCATGTGGGTCACCTCCAGGGCCGGGGGATCAAATTCGCACTGAAGCGCTGAGGCCAGCTTACAGTGCTGCATCCTAACCTGCCTAGAGTTGCCTTTTTTAAATCGAAATAAGTTTGTGCTATCCCTAAATTCCTCAAAAACTCATTCCAACTCCTTCTACAGCATCATATCCTAGACACTTGCTCAGGACCATGTGTTCCAACTTTGTTAGCACTCTGGTTGCTCTTTGAGCATGCCAGACTTCTTTTGACCTCAGGATATCTGTATTTGCTCTTTTCTCTGCCTAGAATATTCTTTTCATGGTTTACTTTTAGTCAGGGTCTCACACAAATGGTGCCTCCTCAGAATCATTCCTGAGATGCCAATCAATAAAGCCCCCCAAATATCTTCATAGTTTCTTAATATGAGAATATAATGTTATCTGACACTGTTTTATGTTTTAGGTGAATTAGGTGACAACTTTTATAAGTTGTGCCTTTCATCTAAAAGTCAGCACTTTTGGCAAAAGTCATGTCATTCAGGTCATGTTTATTAGCAGCCATCTCTTAGACACTCCTTTTAGACCCCAGGCACCACCACTGTCACTGACTTTCTTACACTTGCCTACCTCTGTTCCACCTTGTTAGTGGCTTGACCCAGCAGGCATTCAGGACTGTAGATGAAACATAATCATGGTGAATTCACCAACATGTGTCCTAAAGCCAGTGCAATTTTTTGAGTTGAACTTAGAAACTAAATTGCTCCAATGTGAGACCTCCAAGCACATCCTTGCTCAGATACACTTTTCAGTCTGGTACTGTTCTAGTTTAGAACAATAGCCCAGCTTATTAATACGCTCATCATGGAAAGGCAGACAGGCTCAATTGTGTCTCAAAATAGTTTTCCCTTTTGGGTTTTTTTTTTTAAATTTTTAAAAAAGATAGGTTTGAAATACTTCTCTTTATTTTCTAAACCTCATGAACATTCGATCCAGATGCTAAATTAAAGTGATTCATTTACCCACATGGGGCACACTCAACTGTCCTAAGAAAGAAAATAGCTGAGTTTAACAAAAAATGGATAGTTGCATAGTCTGAAGTCAAATAAAGAGAAATACATGTATAATAGCAAGCGCTAGATCTTTGTCCCCTTGGCGTAACTAGTTCCTAATTAGTCTAGGGGCTTAAATATTTAGTAAGCATTGCTACTGTCAGTATTACACAGTGGCTGAGCAGGACAGACAGTAAAACTAGACAGTAAAACTAAACAAACTAGTGTTATAATATATGCAACAGGAGTTGATAAGTACTGTAAATAAAAAGGAAGGTGGAGTCAGGTAGGAGATTGGAGGGCTGGCCAGGTTCCATGCTCACTATAAGATCAGGGCAGGTCTTGTTAAAAGGCTAAGATTTGAGCATGATCTCAGGGATATAAGGCAAAGTGTACTTATGGGGAGACCCCTTTGCAGAATGAGGAAGGTCAAGAGCCAAGCCTCGGGAGAAGTATGCCTGGTACGGTAAGGAGGTACCCGACAGCCCAGTCAGTCCAGTACAGTGAAGAACAAGGAGGTGGAGCACACACTCTGTTCTCCATAGCAGTCTAGTCTCCCAAGCTGAGGCACCTAGTTTATCATCTATTTTTAATTAACCTATGTTTTGACTGGCTGTGACCCGAGCATTTGGGACTCATGACAATATGAGGGATTTTTAGCTTGGCGTTCGAATTTGTAAGGGGAATTACCGACTGGCCCTGTTTAGCACTGCTGTGGAGATGCAGACCCCAGGCTATTGCATATGCATGACACATTCTCATGAGCTGGCTGCACTGTCATTATTCCTAATACATGCTTCTACTCCATACTGAACACCAGTGCTCATAGTCTAGGAGGGAAAGACTAGGAAGTGTGTGCTAATTACTTTCCCTGAAGTAATGCAGCTTAGAGGCACCTAAGTAAAATCTCCCTGACAGAGATTCTCATCTCCTCTATGCAGCTGCTTGCAGTGGACTGGCCCTTTGGAGCTGAGATGTGTAAGCTCGTGCCTTTCATACAGAAGGCCTCCGTGGGAATCACCGTGCTGAGTTTATGTGCTCTAAGTATTGACAGGTAAGAGCTTATATTTAAGCCAGGCATATCCTGCCCTCCAGACTACTAATTGCCATGTAACCGAGAAAATAGAGTGTGTAATTCAATAAAACCAGGTTCCGCCAGCTTGACAAATAGCTCTATTTTGCTCTTCAGGTATCGAGCTGTTGCTTCTTGGAGTCGAATTAAAGGAATCAGGGTTCCCAAATGGACAGCAGTAGAAATTGTTTTAATTTGGGTGGTCTCAGTGGTTCTGGCTGTACCTGAAGCCATGGGTTTCGATCTGATTACCATTGACTACAAGGGAACTTATCTGCGGATCTGCTTGCTTCATCCCACTCAGAAAACAGCCTTCATGCAGGTAAATTTTACTTGATTTTTCTTTGTCTGCTCTTACCTTATAAATACTTAGCTAATGTCCCATATTCACTCTATCTTGGGAAAGTACTGATTGATGAGGGTCGTTGGCATAAATTGAGTGTCCTCTCTGCAATGTGGGGTTAATGGTGACTAATTACCCAAGCTGCAGAAGCTGGGTTACTACTTTTCTAAGAATCCTCCTGCTCTCAGGGATACATTCAAACCAGGTTCACAGCAACAGAACTGAACTGATGTTATTTTATAGCTTTTCCACTCAGTCCCCATAAGGACTGGGAACTACTACATATTCTGCATAAGATATTACTCATTAGAGGGATTGAATGGGAATGATCAGGTAGAGCTCACACTGGTATGGATGGCTTCTGAAGAGCAAGGCTGCCTTCAATCTAAAGGGAATGCTGCCATAGCAAAGAACCTTGCTTCTTGGCCTTTTTTCTTTAAAGATTTACTTAGTTATGCAAACAGAACTGGATACAGGCCAGAGGTGTGGAGGCAGTGAGAGGATTCACCAGACCCAGAGTGTGGAGCAGAAGAGGCAGATTGACAAAGCACACTACTGAGGGGAACAGCGGGCAGGACAGGAGAGGTCTGCTGCACCATGTGCGTCACCTCTGGGGCTGGGATCAAACTCACACTGAAGCATCTGTGGCTAGTTTGCAGTGCTGTGCTTTAACCCACTGCGCCACCAAGGAGGGCCACCTCTTGGCCTTTTATTAAGGAATCTTTAGGACCCTCCCTGGTGACGCTGTGAGTTAAAACACAGCGCTAAGAAGCTAAAGCCACTTCAGCATGAGTTCGATCCCCGCCCTGGTGACGCTGTGAGTTAAAACACAGCGCTAAGAAGCTAAAGCCACTTCAGCATGAGTTCGATCCCCGCCCTGGAGGTGACCCACATGGCATGGCAGACCTCTCCTGACCCACCCACTGCTCCCCTCAGCAGTGTACTTTGACAATCTGCCTGTTCTGCTCCCCACTCTGTCTCTGGTGAATCCTCTCACCACCCCTGCACCTCTAGCCTGTACCCCAGTTCTGTATGCATAAATAAATAAATCTTTTAAAAAAATGGAATGTTTAATCAGGAAATAGGAAAAGAATGGTGATGTTGGTCTTTAGAAGAGATCTTCAGTATGAAAAGCTCTTACCAATATAATGAGTTTTCTATTTCATATATAAGAAACCTGTAAAAAAAATCATTAGTTGTATGTACACTGTCATCAAAAGTATAAAAAGGAACATTCATGTGAAATTAAGAGTGAGACTGTCCCTTATTAGTTAAAAGGGGCCAAAGTATACTATATAGGTTACACAATTCATTTCTGACATATCTGGATCAAAAAAGTTCTATAAAGAAGAAAGCAGAAAAAGAGTAAGAGAAAAGGTATAAGCCATAAACACCTTTGATTTTTTAAATTGGTAGCGATTTATACATTAGTGAGCTGAATGTTAACACGGAGCTTTTTTTTTTTGTAATTTATATTTATTTATTACATCATTCTTTATTTTGTGCATTTTTTTCATCTGGGTTGTAATCCCTGTGGACTTCCCACCACCAATTCACCCATGCACCATCACCATAATCCTGTACACTCTTCCCACCTGTTTTGACCCAATTCCTTTCTCCACCCTGGTAAAATATAGTTGTTCGTTGTTTTCTGTTTTTACTTTATTATAATTGCTTTTTTCCCTTAGCCCTTATGAGTGAAACCTCTGATATTTTTCTTTTTCTGTCTGGCTTATTTCACTAAGCATGATCTCTTCCAGCTCCATCCATGTTGCTGTAAAAGGCATGAGTTTTTTTTTGATCCAGTTATCTATTTTTGGGCATTTGGGTTGATTATGTGTCTTCCTTATTGTAAATAGAGCAGCAATAAATATGGGGGGTGCAGGTGTCCTTTTGAATCAATGTTTTTATGTCCTTTGGGCTGATACCTAGGAGTGGGATTGCTGGATCGTATGGAAGCTCCATTTTTAGCAGTTTGAAAAACCTCCAAACAGCTTTCCACAGTGGTTATAAACAGTTTGCAGATGTTTTTACATCTGTTTGCCCCATGAAATAAACTTTAGTTAAACACTAGGATATCGTCACATATGTAAAGGTGGAATTTCATACAAAGACTACATTAACTTGTTTAACCTTGAAGATAAAGCACTGAACTACTAAATATTTTGATAGAATGCTTAAATTTTATGCATAATAATACAGCCTCCCAAGAATTAAAATGCATTTTAAGAAAATTTTGTTCCATTTCCTGAATCTTATTTGTTCAGTAGATAAGACCTGAAAATTCTGTATTTTTCAAGTGGCTATAATTTAACAGATCATTTACTCTGGTGCATTTTTTATTTTAATATTTGGTATGGAATATTTTCTTTCAGAGGAGAATTAACCACAAAATTTTCTCTTCCCCAAAGTTTTACAAGACAGCTAAAGACTGGTGGCTGTTTAGTTTCTATTTCTGCTTGCCATTGGCTATCACTGCATTTTTTTATACCCTGATGACGTGTGAAATGTTGAGAAAGAAAAGTGGCATGCAGATTGCCTTAAATGATCACTTAAAGCAGGTAAGAAAATGGAAATATTTGTTGCTTCATACTATGAATATGAAAATTATAATAAACAAATTATTATATACCAGAGTATACTTCCTTTTTCTTGCTTCTGATGATTCTAAACAAAGAGTATTTTTAATATTATTTATCGAGAGAGAGAGATTATCTCGATCTAATCTTTAAGGGCCGAGAAGGAGAACTCAAGTTATTGAAGTTCTAATTCACATTAACTATTGAGCCTAAAGTCCTGTATCCTGAATTTTTTCAAATTTTAAGACTTTTTGTGTAAATGATACTAGGTATTTATTCTGCTTGGGAAGAGAGAATGCTCTGATGCTCACCCCATCTTTGCAGGATCTGACTGTGCTTTTATTTCAGAGACAGGAAGTGGCCAAGACAGTGTTCTGCCTAGTCCTCCTCTTTGCCTTGTGTTGGCTTCCCCTTCACCTCAGCAGGATTCTGAAGCTCACTCTGTATGATCAGAATGACCCCAATAGATGTGAACTCTTGAGGTAAGAAAGGAAAGAGAAATATTCTGTAAATAAATGACATGCCAAAGTTGTCATCTTTGTCCCTTGCATAGGCAGAACACAGGAAATGCTACTTTCTAACCTTTAGGGAGCAATTAAGATTCCCCTTTATCTTTACTCCGACTTTGGAGGGAGAGTAAAGAGGAGTTAAGAGAACACTGGGAATGAAAAGCTAAGTTATCCAAATGATGAGTAAATGGCATGATTCAAAGTAGCAAGTTTGAGTCTCCTCTGTACATTGTACATCCTTTCTGTTGCAGCCTTTTTCAGCACTTCCCAAAGATTTAAAATAATAATAATAATATATTCATTGCCTCGTTCTTCATTTTCGTACAATAGATGGTCTCCCCATGAAATTCCTGCTACCAATGCTCAGCAAAATAAGCCAGGGTCAAAAAAAAAAAAAAAGAAAAAGAAAAATATTGAATGGTCCTCCTTATAGAAGGAATGGAGAGAAAACAAGAAAGTAATTAGGAAAAAAAGTAACTATAATAAAGTAAAAATCAAAATTATCAGACAACTCTAGATGAGAGACATTCTGTAGGGGAGGAGGAGGGAGAAGGGCCAGAACAGGGTGGGAAGAGCACAGACGGTGGTCAAAGAGATTTTATTTTAAAAGAGCATTAATGGAGCATAGGGGAGGAGGGGGGTGTGATGATAAGCAAAGAGAGACAAGCAGAGGAAGAGAGCATTATGGGCAAGCCCAGGGATGGCGGGGAAGCCATCATGGGGTGTTCATTTTCTTTACCAGAACACAAAAGATGTGCCAACGATACGTGCTCAGGGCTGCATGCTTTTCACAGACACTTTTGGATAATTTTTTTCAGCTTTCTCTTGGTCTTGGACTATATTGGCATCAACATGGCCTCCCTGAATTCCTGCATTAATCCAATAGCTCTGTATTTGGTGAGCAAAAGGTTCAAAAATTGTTTTAAGGTAAGAAGGTATTTAAAAACAAA